AATTATCCATATGCTTTCTACCAAACACGATGCACGTTGCCAGCCTGATGGGAAACCAGTTGTCGTTGCCGACTACAACATGATGAAAGGCTTTGTGGATCTTAGTGATCAGATGGCGGCCTACACGCCTTATCTGAGAAAGACGAGCAAGTGGTACATCCGACTATTTTACCATCTGATCACCCAAACGGCTTTGGTCAATGCTTGGTTCCTCTATTGTGAGAAGGTAAAAAAATCAAGATCAACTTCTTCAAAGAATTAATTGTCAATGCTCTCATTTATGACATCACTGCACCAGCTCCTGCGAACAGGCCGTCATTTAGAAGAAAGCTTGTTTCAGATACTCGAATGAAGTCCAAGGATAAAAGGTTCTGTAAAGAGTGCTACAGCCTCATATCAAGGACCCATGGCAGAACCGCAGCTAGAAATACTGCAAAAAAACCAAAACAAAGTGCGATAAATGCGAACAGTTTTGTTGCCTTGAATGTTTTCAAAGTGTTCATAATTGTTGAGTTTGATAAATGATTCCAATCACGTTAGCTTTTTAGTTGTAATCTGATATGATGTATTCCTCTTCACTTAATACTTAATACTTCCATAAAAACCTTAGATTCAGAAGGATTACAGGTCGACGCCAAACTTAGTGAGCTAAAGGAAGACCTTTGAGATATAGTGAGATATTACCTATTCCATTGTTGTCTCTTTCGCAAAAGCAACGTATCCAGCAACGTATCTAAGGTGTATCCTTCCACCTCATCACGAAAACTATCTCAACTATCAAATATTGGCTCTACAATATAGTACTCGTTTTAGTCAGTTGCCTTCGGGCTATTTTTCTTCTTTCACTGGTTGTGGATGATCGTGGTGGTCATGCCGTTCATAGCCTTCGGAATGAGTTTGGTTGCAACTGTAGCTGACAGCTTGCTCACAGCTCTTGTCGCCGAAAATGAAGAGGTTGGCAGTAGTCGTTCTATTTACAATTTTAAGCGATACATTCTCGATTCAGGGCTTGGTACTCGGTGTTGCGACGTCGTTCAACTCTTTGATACGAACGTTTGCGCCCACCATTTCTGGTTACATACTGGAGAATTTTGGCTTTTCCACTTTCGCTTTGATCGGCTCTTTATCTACGGCTGTTGGCCACGCAGCAATATTTCTTTTTCCTCTTCGAGAGAACTTATTACGGAAGTCAAAAGCTGAATAAGTGTTTACGTTTGAGCTCTTGTATTTCTTCTTTGAGATCTTGTTACCTCCGTTCTCCTCTAATTGTCTAGTCATATTTATGTTGTATATAAATTACAAGTTTATTTACTTGTTCAGGGTAACGGCATTGATAGAAGTATGACAGGTTTTAGAAGTGTAGACTTTTTTGTAGGGTCGTTCCTTTTTTCGCTTGGGACACGAGGTTGTGACCATTAATCTCATTGAGCATTAGAATCGCAATAAAATTTAGTGCATAGGAGAAAGTGTTGTTTTTTGTTTAGTTTCAAGAAGATCTTGTCTCTAGCGCTTCTCGTTTCACAGATATCAAAGTGATATCATGAATTGATGGTATGAACATCAGATTTTCGTAAGAACCATACAAGAATTGAGGGCGAAGTTGTGACTAGTATTAAGCTGAAGATTTCACATTTATCCAGCCTTTAATTATCGTAAACCTCTTTGTAGTCGACATTCTGTAATGCCAACAACTTGCCATTTAGAGTGGCTACCTCTGTGTTCGACCCTTGAAGGCACAGTTCACGATACTTTTGATGTGCCCATTTTACGATGAAAAGCGGAAGTGTTGGTGGTGAGTAGTGCATCGGTGGCGAAGGAAGCAAGAAAATCCGTCAACTTCGTGAAGAATAAGGCTTTCTAAAAGTATGAGGTTCTACGAGATCACCATGAAGGGAATGGCATAAAAGGTAAATATTTTCAAGAGATACTATGTAGCTGCTGCCATTGCCTGGAGAGCTGACTATATTAAGCCAAAAATCTCCAAAGCTGCCTTCTACTGTCGCCATGGATCTGGAACATGTTAGCTGTTCAGATTTCCCACACGATGTCCCTTGTAAATGGTGAAACCTCGACGACGTCTTTGAAACTCGTTCGCTATAGGAGGGGCATTCAGCCAATAGGATTCCTGAGAACGTCCTCTATGGGCCGTCTAGCGAATTGACAGCGCCACGTATGGAATAAGGGAGGGGGGGG